CTACAGTATCACACTCCCCTACAGTATCACACTCTTCTACAATATTTACAGTCCAGCACTGCCCTGCCTCCTCTCGTTCTCACTGCTGTTCCTCTCTTCTCTCAGACATCACGGTCATCTGCCCCTGGGAGGCCTTCAGTCACCTGGAGCTGCACGAGCTGGCCCAGTTCGGCATCGTCTAGCCCTCCTCCTCTTCCTCCTTCCTCAGTAAGCCTCCAAACCTTCCCTGCCCCCCCACCCCCCATCGTGTGTCACATGCAGTTTGAATAAAGAACAAGACATAGAAAAGACAGTCAGACCCAGATCTGAACAACAGCTGAACAGACACTCATTCTGTAACAAAGGGGTCGTCTCTGCCAATTCTCCTCTCGGATTCCTCCCCAGACTCAGAGAGGAGACACCGACATCTCCCTGACACCTCCCTGCGTCTCCCCGGTGCTTCCCTCTTTGCCCACTCCCCCTCCTCCACCTGAGGGACAAGCCCAAGGCTCAGATAGACATTTACTGAAAGATATATTTATTTTGTTTTATGCATGTACTATATGCTAGTTTATTTATATATTGATCTGTTCAGAAAAAGATTTTTGTTCGTTCTGGGGTTTTTCTTTTAATTTTCTTGGTAGATGAAGCTCTTCCGGGAGAGACAGGGAGAGGTAGAGAACGGACCTGCAGGTCGTGGTCTGGGAGTGAAGAGTCTGTGCTGCTCCCCCAGTTTGACTTGTGCTGTTGTCTTTTCTCCCACCTTACTGACGTAATTAACTAGTGACCTAAAGAAAGTGATTAATTGATCTTCCGTCATGATGCTTGATCTCAAAAGAATCGAATCACTAAATCTCTAACGAACCTCTAACGAGTGTAGCTGTGTCTTTACTCTTCTCCTGACACCTGCAAACACAAATGGAAAAGTCATAAAGAAAACAGTCCATGGCTGTTAGAACCTTCTCATTTTACCTTCAAACTGGTGTTTAACCAACAATGAGCTAAAAATCCAACCCCATCACACAATCCAAGCGCAGAGTCAGTCGATACCAATGGCCTGCTTGCTGACCGCTCAATCACAGCACAGTGACCAGCACCACCCTGTACAGGACACATACGGGTATTTGAACCACATAAAACACAACTAGGAAGCAATTAGGTGTGGCAATTTTACACGTTTGTTGTGCTGAATTCCAAAAGTGACAGCGCCCCCTGCAGGGTGGGGTTGACTACTTCAGGCTGAGTCACCGCCCCTTGGCACTAGCCCAGCACTAGGCTCCAGGGACACCAGTGTCCTTCGTGACACTAATCGTCCAGTCATGACACTATTGGTCCAGTGCTGATTAGTAATGATGCTAATAGTCCACTACCGGTCCAGTCACCGTCCAGTAATGAGACCGCTGGTCCAGTCATGGTCCAGTAACGACACTACCGGTCCAGTCATGGAGCAGTACTGGCGCTGTCCACTGCTCCACTGTGGTGCTCCCTGGAGTCTCCTGTCCAGTGACCCTGCAGGAGCTGGGCTGCAGCCTGTTAGCACACACAGCAGGAACCCACAAACACACTGGAGGACAGGCTGGGGCCACAAGAAATCGGGGACCCTGGAGAGCTCAAGGGACAGACAGACAGCCGATCCCTCCACCCCCACTGAACCCCGACCTCACCCTCCCAGGACTGAAGGGAACCTCCTCCCAGACTCGTCTCCCAGTCCCCAGGACCCCAGCACCGGCCCCCCTCCCTTCAGCACCGCTGCGCCCAGCCCTGGTCACCCGGTCCAGCCTGCTGTCCAGCAGGAGAGAGTGAGGAGGCCCTGGTCACTCGGTCCAGCCTGCTGTCCAGCAGGAGAGAGTGAGGAGGCCCTGGGCACTCAGTCCAGCCTGATGTCCAGCAGTCCAGGGAGAGAGTGAGGAGGCAGGGCTCTGGGGTGCCATAGTGACCTAATGTTACCATGGTTACTAATGAACTATGTCACCATCTGACTCTCCCTCCAGTTCAATAAACCTGTGCTGTTGTGTCAGATAACCTGGGCGTCTCTGCTGCCTCTTTTCTGTTCTTCCCAAACCCTGCAGCATTTCTGATTTCATCAATTGAGATGTTTTTCCTGGAGTCAAAAAAACATTTCCCAAACATACAGCTGATACAGACTGAGACCTCACGCTGAAGCAAAGGGACATACCGCAACTACACACTCAACAGCACACACTGACACACGAACGCATACACGTCCTCTTTTCTGAATGATAGACACTGATACACACTGACACACAAAAACACACACTGATACACAAATGCGCACACTGATAGATACTGACACCCTCACACAGATTGACAATGGAGTGGATCAGACTGCTGCACACTGGGAGTCTGACTGACAGCACTGT